AGAAAAATTATTAAAGAACAGGTGTATTACTTAAGTATATATATTTATAGGATGTACAAATAAATATGAAAAAAAAAAATTAATTTTTCCTGAAATTCCTAAAAGAAACATAAGCTAGAAAGCACTTATCTCCACACTTCCTTTTTTTTAGTGTATCTGCCTGATAACATGGAAATACATGGAAAACAATCAAATGGTTGGCGAAAAGAACACACGCATTGGGAAAAATGAAAGGAAAGGAAGAGGCGTGCCGTGGCAGGGCAGGCGGACAAAAGATTGCCTTAGGTTTCCCATACACTCCTTCATCCGCTCATTCGTTCAGTCATTCATTCTCGCATTCATTCTGGTTGCCTGGCAATGTCGCTTTGCATGTGTGTCCGTCCCTCTGCATATCTCTTGCTTTCTCCCCTCGGAGGGCCACAGGGCGTATACGCAACGCTGGCACTGCGAAGGCTTTTGTTCAACATGACAAAGACATGACAGCGACAGCAGCAGCGGCAGAAGAAAGCTGGAGCAGCACGCAAGAAGTACAACAACCACGAAATGACGCTCTTTGTAATGCTTTTAATGCTTTCAAAATGCTTCCCGGATTGATTTATGGCCAAGACCACAGAAAAAGACACAAAAAAAAAGCACAGCCAGGACTAAGACCCGGCATTGACAAATCAATAGGCAGCTTTAGAGGTCAAAAAGATGGACTCAGGCTCGGGGATTACTCTGCCCGGAAAAAGTTATGAAGGGATATCTTTTTTGCTTGGCTTTAAATTTATTGAAGTTGCTTCCCTGCGTCTTGGCCATCCCATCCATTTATTAGCCCGTTCCGAGAATGACAACTGAAGCAGTAGCAGCAGCACTCTATTGTCACCAGACCATTCATCAATTTCACTTACTTTCCCATTCTGATGGAAAACTGGCAGCCAGAGGAAAATGAACAGGATTGGGCGGAGTATGGTGGTGGTGCTAAAAATTCTATGGCCTTGGGTGGATAAACATTGTCTACCTCTTTGCTTTGTTTTGCTTTCATTGAAAGTTCTGTGCTGCCGCTGATTTGCATATAGAAAACTTGTTAATAATGCCAACCAAGGTGTGTGGGATGGTTAGGCACCTTATCATTAGTGATGGGTGTTTGTCTTTTTTTCAGTTCGAGGAACTTCTTTACCTTTTCCTTAGCATTTATATATTTTTTTAGTCGTTTTCTTTAGTTTCTAAAAATATGCAAAGTATCAGCTATGTTTTATATTATTGAATTTAGTATAACGTAGTTTGTTTCGTTGTATTATTCGTGACATTTTATTTAAAACAAGAAATTAAATTTCTTTTATCCTAGACAACAACCATTAAGACGAGCGAGTAACCAAAGATCGAGTGACCGACGAGCAAGCAGAACGACGAGTGGGTAAAGAGGGCAAGAGAGAGTGAAAGAAACGTGTAAATCAACGAACCAAAATGACGAGTGAGTTCTTTAATGAGTGGGTTCGTTGTTATAAATCTATTTAAGAGATTTCAATTTTATCTACCAAATTTAACAGTGAAAAATTTAAAAATAACCAAACCTACCCGTTACATTTAATTTCTTCCAAATGTTTCTTTATTAGTTGTTACTTTGTATTATAGATTTTTTGGCATCCCTGCCACCACCTACCCTACCCTTACTACAACAAAGGGCAACAACTTTTCCAACCGGCTTAGATGAAAGTTTTGTGATTGAGTTTTTGACAGTTTCCCTGAGGGATTGGCACACCCCCAAAGGCCCGCCCCCAAAAAAGGTGTCTGCACTAAGCTTGTTTTGATTTTCCGTTTATTGTTTTTGCTCAGCTGCCTTGTGAAAAGTTTTCCATCTGCTAATTGCTTGAGCTCATAATTAGAACAAATGCAAATGAATGTTACAGATTTTCCAACACCGAATACGAATATTTAGCAAATTTATGCAAATGACAGAAAGCGTTAAAATTCACGACTAATTAGCCCGAAAAGTTAAATGGAAACACAAAGTATTCGGCATTAATTTATGTTAGAATACAATTTTTGTGACGCCTGACAGTCTCTTTATTTTATTTTGGTGTTGTTCGTCCCCGATTTGCATAAACAAATGCAAACGAATGCCAAATCAACAACTGCCACGCCCACCTGCTGTTCGTCAGGGAAAACTTTGGCCATACAACTTTGGCCAAGCAGAAAGCATTCATCATTTATTTTGTTGTTTCCTTCTTGGCTGCCACAATATGAAGGGACTTTTGTTGTAGAGAAAAATATAGTATAAACCGTAAAATATGATACAAATATTTATATCCTATAATATAAAGACTGATAACTTTAATTCTTTTAAATATGCAACAGGAGGAGCTCAATTAGTGTGTCATGTGGTCTGTTCCACATCGATTTGGTCAACACTTTAATGCGTTTCACTGAACGCCGTTAATTTAACGCATGGGCCAATTTGTGGCTTGAATAATTACAATTAACAATGGTTTTTTCCAGCTGGTTTTAATGCTATCAATAATAAATTGAAATGTAATGCTCTGGGGTTAAGCGGATGCTGGATAATGATATGAATTATTTGAAGAAACCAACATGTTTGTGGGAGTATATTGAATTAAGGTTTGCATTGTATTTTATGAAATATTAAGCTCAAGAATTAAGTAATGGGACATTATTAAAATAAATAAAGGTGATAAGGTCTATTAAAAAATGTTGTACTTTAATTTTAAATCCAAAAATACTTGTAAACTATATTCCAAGCATATTACTCTCTTGATTTAAATTGTAAAATAGATTTTCTACTAGAGAAAGGGAAAGTTAACTATAGTTAATTTAGAATCCATTTATTTCCCTTAAATTTAAATCATTTTCACTTTCAAAATTAAAGTCTACAATGGCTGAAAATCACACAACTCAATGAAAACATGTCTGTTTACCATCCGCTTTTCACTTTTCCACATTTCGGACTTTGGACAATGCTCACTTTGAAAGGCAACACGAAATGAAATGCACAAAATGCTGGACCCTCAATTTCCCTCTGGCTAATTCGAGAACACAGGGAAATAGCAACAAAATTTTTCGCGAAATTCGGAATTCATCTGTTGTCGTTGACGTTGTTGCAATTAGCCCCGAAATGCGGTTCAATTAGGGGAGTACACGCCCCCGGCCGGTGGGCAAAGGACAGTGGGTAGTGGGCAGAGGCCGGTGGGCGGTGAGTGGGCATTGGCTGGAGCCGACAGCTAGCCGCTAATTTGCATATTGCATTACACGAAATACCAAACTAGCGGCGGAACTGGATGGTTTACGTTACATTACAGAGAAAACAAAAGTGTACAAAATTTGTTTTGAAATTCTTAAATTTTTTATAAAAAAAAAAAGGTATAATAAATTGTTAAAAATATATAACAAATATATTAACTAATTAAAGCAAAATTAAATATATTTTTTCATAGTAAATTTAATATTTATTTGATTTAAAAAATAAAACAAACACATTCCCCTTTAAATAACTTTAAATAACTTCAATAATATTTTACATTTAATTTTCAAAATATGAAATCAAGAAAATATTTTCTGGAGAATCTGACATATTACTTAAAAACTGTTACACATTTTTCCCGCAGTGCATGAGGAATCAGTTTACAACTCTCTTCCACCAAAGCCGTACAATGTTTCCCGGCTTAATTAAAAATTTTCCGCCAACTGCCGCCCGCTTGCAGTGCATCAATTATTCGATTGTCCGCCAGCCAAAGTGGTAGCTATATTTTGTAAATTCAAAGGGATAACCCAATTGATTTTTTTGTTTGTATTCCTTATCAGAGATCAAGTTATCAAGTTATCCTTGAAGCATTTGCAGTATTGATTTTGCCATAAACATGCTGTCGGCGGCGGCTCCCTTAATGCGCCCGTTAACTCGCCAATAAGCGGCAAATCCCGCCTGTCGCTTCTCTCCGCCTTCGCCTCTCGCCGGGTGTACACATTCCTTTAAAAGATAAAACGGCGTAAACGTCAATTATGGGGGCGTACAAGCCCGGAGCCGGGGACTCCCGGCCCAAACCCGGATGATTGAATGATGGAGGCTCGTTGTCGGGAAACAAAAACTAAACCAACAGAACGCTTAGACGCCACGGGAGTGACATTTTTTGAAAGTAATCCCCACGCCGGGACGAAATGTTTGATTTATGTCAACGTGAGGAGGAAGGGCTCGACACCATTAGCTAGTTTTGTACAGTTCAGTTTAGTTCGGAGAATATGCGGGTACCGAGCCCCAATTTTAAGCGGGACACGTTTCTTGTGTGTTGAGAATCTCTAAAAGTTTTACAGTTTGAACGGATGCCAAAATGATGATTCATTGAAAGGAAAATTTGGAAAAATCTGGTGCAAGTTTAGCAGATTTTAAATGAGTTGAATTCCATTTCAAAATAATTTCGCTTGAAATAATTCAAAATTCTTAAACAAATAGTTTACTTTTACCTATAAATGACATACATTTTATTAAACTCTTGGTAAATAAGCTTTAAACAGGAACACTAATGAATAATTAAAATTAATAATTGCTGCATATAAATTGAGATTTTAATCAGCCACTAAGCTCTTTTTGTTGACAAAAATAAAGTAATTAGTTTGCTACTCATTGAAATCCAATTAGTCGGCTAAATTGAGGTGGTAAACTCATAATTAATCAAATGTTCGAATGAAATGTATTATAATTTCCAATGGAATAATTTACAAGCGGTGCGAGCTGGATTTTGGTGGTATAATTTGCGTTTCCTATAGGAAATTAATTGGACACGGGAAACTATGAATCAGAAAAGGACTAAGAGGGTGGCCAACAGTAGCTAAATTCAAGTCTGGCTGTAATTGAACTCAAGAAAAGTTAGGGTATTCTCCAGCCTTAAAGTTTGTTATAAAATAAATGAAAAAGACAAATTGAAGTATTATTCTGAACTTTATTAAACTTATTAAATTATTATTTATATCTATAGTTAAACATAAGATCTGAACAAGTGACATTTTGACCCTTAATGACCTCTCCCAGTAAACCAATAAACCAAATGTTCGCAAAGAAAAACAAAAAACGCCAAAGCTAAAAGGCTGAACAGCAACAACCATATCCAGGTGAGATCAGCAACCTTAAATTCTCGAAATGCCACATAGGGAAAAGGATTCTTTTGGGAAATCATTCCCAGACTGATCATCTTTCGAAGGGTTTCCTGCTTCCAAAAATCCAGCAAACCTGCATCCTGAGCGCGATGTATAAGCTCGTTCATAGGATATTCATAAATGGAGTTGGCCTGCATGGGCAGGGATAGCAAGACACTGGCTCGGATGATTGCCATTTCCGGAAGAAAGCAGTATACCGGCTGCTCGAAAAACTCCTGCCGCTTGGCCATTATTAGCCACTCTGTGTCCAAGACGGAGAAAGACTGGGATCTGTTTAGGCTGCTCCTTATATCATGAAAATCCCTGGTGTTTACAAACTGAATTTTGTCCCGTATCGCAGTAACGGGTCGCTCCCAATCAAAGGAGGTTAGATAGAAACGTTCGGCCTCATCAAAGTATACACTAACTGGAGAATCCCTCAGTTCCTGAAAGTTGGAGATCTGCCGGGCCTTGGGGCGCTTGGTTAACAGAGTCTTTAAGTGAGCCGCGTAAAGTGTGCTCAGCACTAGTCCCAGCAGGAACAGACTGGCATTCGTGACCCTCGAGCTTAGGGTATTCCTGGCTCTCATGTTGAAGGATTGACCTATAATTCCTGATATCATGCGCTCGTTTAGCACAAAACTAGACCAGTCCACTCGTTTTCGGAGAAGCAGAGTTCCAAAACACAGGTCCAGAAACGTAAAGATGTAGTAGAAAATCAGCAGGACCAACAGGAATTGTCCACTGACCATGACCACATACACATCAGCGGTGCGTATATCCTGGGCACATGGAACCATCACAAGCCACAGCCCCAAATCATAAATGCTCGAAAAAACCCCAAGCTCAGAGGGCATCTCAAAGCCACACAGGCTAATGGGCATGTCTATAGTGCCATTGAGAGTCATATTCCGAAGTAGGAAGAGGTTTAGCTGCTCACCTGGCACAATGTCCTTTACCCAACGGAAGGTGAAGTTGTAGATCCGGGTGAATTCTAAGATTAACTTGTAGACATAACCTGTCATCTCTAGTTTTCCGGTCTCCGGATTCCGAGAGACTATGGAGCGAGGAGAAAACTGATCGGGAATAGTTAGAATATATTTGCCACGGTAGTTCCGAATTGGTGTAAAAATAGTTTCTTTGGTTGGATTAACCTCCAGCCAACGTTTTGGTGCATAAGGCTGTAAATGATATATCCTATTTTCTTGACCGATTACTGCTACATCCAGGAATCTTAGGTTCTCAGTTGTATCAGCAAACTCATCGGTTGGCTTTTCTTCCCATCTCCGGCAGAGCAGCAACCTGACCTTCCTCATATTCAGCAGATTCCGGTCGAGAGCCTGCCACAAATCAGAGTCAAACTTTGGGTTTCCTGTTTGCCAGATCAAAGCCACCATTTCCTTGTTGTAGGTGCTCCTCAAGGGAAAGTCCATCTGCTCATTGAAGTTTAAGATAGGCAGGGAAATCCCCTCCAATCCAGATATATCATTCCGAAGGTCACGACTATGCCTCAGCAGGAGTATAGTTTCGTAAGGCTTATCCCTGTAGATACTGTCCAGGATGGGCTGCAGCCAGCTGCTGGTCTCGTTAGCCAGGAGTAAAACCGGAACTAGTAGCGGCCACATGTCCCGATGGAATGATGGAAAAACCAAGACAACGCCTGTCCCTTCATTATCTTTCAAATAAACGCTAATTAGCGGAGGTTATAAATGATTCGAGGGCTGGCTAATGGCCTACGGATTGCACGGCATTGAAAAATGGGAGCCATTAGCATTAAGTTTTACGGTTTACAGGAGGAGCAATTATAAGCTGGAAAAGCTTAGGCGAAATATGTATTAAATGCCCGAACGGGTGACTGAACCTCTCGTTATTTCCATCTCCGTTTAAACATTTCCAAATATATTTTCTAATTGCCGTAGCAAATTGCTTTCAATGTTTTTATTTTCACAAACACACATATCCTTGGCTCAATTAAGCCTGTTTGCAATTGATTATATCTTCAGTTTTGGTTTTGCCAAATATTTGCAATGAAAATATATTGCCTTTATTGATTGATATTCACCTACGATGAGAGGTACTAATTGCTCTCGAATGAATTATGTATTGTTTTAACTTTACATAAACCATTTCCCCTGCTGCTCATCAACTTTTCAACAAGTTTTTCCCACTTCCACTCTCGAGTTGAAAATTTTCTAGGTTTGCACTTTCATTTTGCTGGCATTTCTCCTTCAATTAAACAAGTTAAATGTGCAGAAAAAGAAAAGAGCTGAAAGGATGCTGACTGCGAGACGCTTGAAGAGCGTGTCGCATTAATTTTCACGCGAGTGCATATTTGATTTTCCTTTATTCATATTTCTTTCCACTGCCTCGGCTTCTCCCGGAGTGAGTGAGCGCGTGTTTTTGCATAAAGTCGAGACGGGGTTTCCCCCTGCTTCTGCTCGTTGACATGCATAAAATTGCAGAAAACTCCTGCTAGGCATAATTTCCCCCAAGACGTAGGGACCGAGCAACATGGCGTATGCGTAATGTAACATTAATTGCATTTATTTGCTTTGCTGATTGATTTCACCGGTCTGTAAGGAGGGAGTTTTGCATGGCCTACATCTTTTCCCGGGCCCAGACAATTTGGTTTATCAAAGTCATTTGGCTGATGTTGGCCTAGAGGCAAAATGCCAGCCACGCCCACATAAATTAACGCAGATTTAACGAAGCGTTAACACAAAGGACGAGCCCAACGACGAGCAGCTGCCACAGCCAGAGTCCTGACAATCCTGCTCCTGCTCCTGCTTCTGCTTCAGCTTCCTCTCCCCCTCCGGCGACTTTGCGACAATAAATTTATTGGTTTTATCCTGCGAGCTTATCAAGTTCATCCACAGCCCCGAACATGTGCAGTAAATTTTTATGTCAAATGAGTTTCGGTTGCTTTCGCTTTTTCGTAATATAATTTATGCAAAAAATAATGAGCGCGCTTTTAGGCGCTGCTGGGAAAGCAACGGAAAAGCATGTGTGTGGGAAAAAGTTATGAATTGATTCGGCTTTAAAGCTGTTGACTCAATGGCTCATCCACATCCACATCCGCACCGGTGGAGCATCCTTGAAAAGTTTGCCAAAAAGGAAAAGTTTCCTGGGGCACTTGAAAAACCTGAAGCCTGAATTGGTATCCTTGAATCCCTCCGCTGATGGGACTCCTGCGCCTAAGTAGGGTTGCTTAAGATTTCTTTCGACAATGTGTTAAGTGAAAATTGACACAGGCCAAAGGGGAGAGCTTGCCATGATTGAACGCCTTTTGAAATGGGGGCTTTGAACCAGGCCCAAAATGTACATATCTCGGGAGTATTTAAAGTTTGTCAGTGGCAGGCAGTGGCAGTGGCAGCCGCCGACCTACAAAAAAGTTTGCCATGTTAAGCTGTGAAATTGTACGCCATTTTGCCATTTTGCGGGAGCCACTTTCAGTTGTTCACTTGTTCGCTTTTTTAATTAAAAAAGTGGCCAACTAAAACGGGGACAGACATTTGAACTTGCTCCCTTCGCCGCCTTTTAATTTCCAATCTCTATTCCGGCAAAGTTTCGACAAAAATGTAATTAAAATACTGCAAATATTTGCCCAGTTCGAATGCATTTCCACCCCTGCCTCTGTCTCAGCCAAATGTGCAAGTCGCGCAAGGATCCTTGACCGCTTTTCCGCAATCTCTCTAATGCGGAGTATCCTGCGCTCATTTGTCTGCGTTCCGTGTCGTTTGCCTGGAAACTGGCAACTGGCAACAACCAGGCCGGCGGCCGCATCCTTTTCGAGTTTGCGCTTGTTTGTCATCCTTTTTGCGGTACCCAGCCTTTGCCCTTCACATGATTGCGGCTTCATGCTTTTGCATATTTCCCATGAATACAATTTCAGCATATCCTCCCACACACACAATGAAGATACGCATACACAGGACTCCGCTGAAGAAGGACGAATTATGCGTGAATATTCGCTGATATGCGAACAGAGTTGTCACTGGAACACAGAGAGACAGGCTCAGGTTTGTCGCAAAACCAGCCTATATATGTGGGTATATGTATATGGTTACTCTTGGTATGTGAAGAATTTAGTTGTCAACCTTGATTCAGGACAATTTATAGGGTCTGCGGTGGATAACTGAGAAATGTGTCTACGTTGAGAATGCCAATTTATCAGGAGCATTGTTAGAGGCTTGTGTCTTGGTAGAAGGGTTCTTTTAAGTTGGCGGTGCCTCGCCATCAGGTAATAATACTAGCTAGAAAAATGTTAAGTATTTTATTTATAAGAATTTAAACAATTTCTACAGTGGTAATGTAAAGAATTAAGTTGTTTTAGGGGAATTGTTGTAGCTTATAGGCAATATTCCAGAGATATTACTGGTAACTATTATTTATATAAGGTTAATATTATTAATATTATTATTAATATTTTAATAATTTCAATTTCAAGGAAGATGATTAAGCAACTTTGTAATTATAAAAATTATGATTATAACTCAAATAAAATTATGTAAATACTAAATTTAGTAATTCAAGAACTTTTAAAGGCAGAAACTCAATTAATTTATAGTTACCCGTAATTATATCTTTTACTGCCCCAAACCTGTTTCTAATATTTCACGATTAAAGCTAGTGCTTGAACCCTTTAAAGCCATTAAAAGGTTGTGCCTAGAATTTAGTATGCTAATAAAATAGTTGTAAGATCTAAAAGTACGTTTTACTCCTCAGCATAAATTCAAGTTTCTGTTAAATAAACTTGGAAAAAGATTTAAGAATACAAAAACCGATGTTTGACAATGTTTAACCATGTTTACCCTGTGGCTCTCGGTCGAAAGCCTTATGAAGCGTCTTAAAGAGAGAGAGAGAGCAGCCGACCAAAAACCAAAACAGAGATCCAACCAGACCCATACCCCGCTAGCCCCCTCTCCCTAACCAACAGCAACTAAAGCGTCGAGCACGTGTAGTGCTGCCTTCTGATTGGCCGGCTGCTTTCGCTTTTCGTTTCCGCAGAGAGCAAGCGAGCCGAGTGGCAGGCAAGCTAGAGAAAGAGAGCTGTTTAAGAGAGCACGCAAACTGGTTTTGGCGACCCAAAAGCACCCTGTATAGCGCCACTCGAAGCTAAGCGAACGAAGTGAACTTTACAGTTGTTGTTCGGCGTTCTTTGTGGTCAGACGTATCACGTATACGTATCTGCGCGTTTTCGCGTCGCTTCCGAAAAACGAAAATTCTGCATACCGGTTGCTTCCTCCTTTCGCACTAACGGTTTCACGTTACTCGTCGGGGTTCGGTTAAAAGCTCAAATTTATGCAGTAAATTTATAATAAAAAATAAAAAAAAAACATAATTGCAGTAAACTGCGCCACCTAAGGTAAACCTATGCTGATTGCTCACATTTATTAATTCGTTTACATCGTGCGCTGCATTCTTGAGAACGGGTTTTACGGCATTCCCAATAAATTCTGCACTGGCGTTGGATTTTTATGTTCGTGACGAAAGTGAAGTTCTCAAGATCATAATCTAAGCGTTTCCGTTTTTTTTCCATCGGTTCGAAAGTGCCGAAAGAAAAAGTTAGTTAGTCGTAATTTACGGGATTTTGCGAATAAAAGCAGGCATAAAGCAGAACTCGCAAAAAAATAAAAGAGAATAAGTTATTTAATATTCATACCCAACGGAGCTGGAGGAAAAAACCATCCGTCGCAGACAAACATAGCAACAAGTCGGCGCCAAGTCGCTTACCAAATCCAACACCACCGCTGTGTTTATTAACATTCAGCTGAGAGCGTTTGGATAGGTAGAAAAGCGTCGTCTTCCGAGAATTGGCAGTTAATTTTTGAAATCACCTCCGGACCAAGCCAAGTCGAGGAAAAAAAAACAGGCAGAGAAAAAAAGAGACCGGAGACACCCGTAGGTGTGGTGCGTATGTGTGTGTGTATGTGCGTGTGATAACTGTGAAACTATATACCCAAGCCAGAGGGGGGAACGTAAAAGCAGGTGAATCCCCGTCCCTGTCCCCTCTCAAGATGATATTCGAGAACTATTCGAGCCACCCACGCTGCTCTGCGGCATAGAAATGGAAAGTTTCGCATCATTTCGTAATAATCACGCAAGTGCTGATGCCGCAAAAGAAAACTAAAAGAAAATGTGAGGAAAAAAACTTGCAGATCGCAGCTAAAAAACCGATTACGCGACGCGTTCTAGATACATTTGGGTTGCATCGCAGATCTTGCCCAGATATTAGTCGCTTTATTCTTGAATGTGTGCCAAAATAATAAACGCCAGAGACCGACTGACCGTCAGTTGTGTTTATTATTTTTATAATTTATTGCACAACAATAAGAACAAGAAGAGAATATATAGAATTCGGCAGCGAGCACTGAGTGTCTGTGTTTGTGCTTGTCTGCATCCATCCACATTCCGCGGTGAAATGCATCTGCAAGATACACACGGAATCCGGCGAGACAGACGCATAATAAACGATAAATTTCAGGGCAATGACAAAATTGCTGATAACTGACCAAGCACCACCAACATTTCGATTCTCCCTCTGTTTCGCCCTCCGCTTCGCTTTAGTTTGATCATTAATATCTTTTAGTTTAATATGCCAGAACAGAAAAGTCTGGGGAAAAGT